TCAGGTGGTCTGACAGTTCTTTATAGCTTCATATACTTTTTCTAATGGAAAAATCTTAAGATTTTTTCTGTGGCAAGTGCCTGATTTTAATTTCATAGTGCTTATTAATTATTTCTATTTTGACTCCTTTGTTACTGTTTGGCTCATTCAAATTTGGGGCCTTTTTGTCAGCTCCAGTGCAAATCATTCAGTTTGATAACCATAAAATACCAGATCCTGAGCAAGAAGAAAGCATTTGTAAAGAACTATTTAGTATACATAGGGGACAGTTGTTCACTGGAGCTGGGCAAGTGCATTTTCACTGCTGTTTCCCTCTTGAAAAACAGGTTATGGCAGGCTACATCAAATTATCCTGCCATAATCACTATGTACTGCGGAGGGGCAGGATTTTTCTCCTGATTTCTCAGTTGCTGCTTCCATTTTGTTTGCTGTTTCTTCCTTCTTCTGCCTTCTTTGCTGTTTCTTCCTTCTTCTGCGCAGGACTGCCCAGAGGCAGCAGCAGCTCATGGAGCTGATGGGGCAGGTGGAACAAGGCTGGCAAGTATCTCCCTCCCAGGCCCTCCAGAACGGCTGTGTCCTCACTGTGCAGAGACTTAACCTACATGAGTCATTTGCCAGGGGCAGATTCTCTTAGAACTGCCACGTAGTCTTTCTTTTCTTTGTGAAGTTTGCTTAAGAAGGTAGGAAAAGGTGGATTATCCTTGTTACAGGGTTTAATCAACTCTATACGAAAGCACAGCAGTTTAGGAGTGTTAAGGATTTATTTTTTTTTTCTTGTTCTTGCTTTTGCTAACCAGAGGAAACAAAACAAAAAAATAAGGCTAACAGGCAGGCATTTTGGTTAGGCAATCTGGTATTACTTTTTAGCTGAAATTTACCCTCATGATGACAAACCCATGGAATTCCTTGCCGCAGGATATTCTGAATCTTAAAAGTTGACAATAATGAGTTTGAAAGGAGCCTGGATGAGTTTGTGAAAGAGAACTCCCCTAAGAATAACTAATATAGAGAAGCTGTGGCTGGTTCAGGAAATCCTTGAGCCATACAGTACATGACCAAAATATGGGAGAATTGCTGGGATAATTTTCTTATTTGATTGGCCAGCTCTTCTGGCATCTGCTTTTCGCCAATGTTGGAAGCAAGGCTACGTACATTTTTGGTCTAACGAAGTACTATCTAACCTGCTTTCATGTTACCGTTGAGGAAATGGTCCCCTTTTCAACATTTAAATGCTTTTCCTGGTTCATAGATCTTGTAATCTAATCATGAAAATCTATATCATGAAAATATTTTAAAAAGCTCCGCAGCTTTGCTTTTATGTAAATCACAGGTCAAAAATTGGTTATTTTTACTCCAAGGACTCCCCTGCCATAGTAAATCTACAATTTTATCACACCTAAAACCAAACCTAACCTAAAACCTAGCACAGCCCTCTGCACAGTAATCTTTCCAGAAAAATCTGTCCTTTAGATTAAAAGGAAAATAACCTCAGCATTGGAGAAGTGAAAAACAGTGGGAAACTGTAGCTGGTTGTGTAAATTTAATGTATGAAATTTCACCTGGTTTATATTTAATGCCTAGACGGCTGCCCAAACTGTAGCTAGAGCTGGGTACGCTGCATTTATCCTGAGAGACTCTGCCTGTGTTTTTTGAGCTTATAGTCAAGGAAAAGGGGTGATATTTCAGGGAGAGCATGAACAGCTAAGATGGTGATATATGCATGCATACATATATATTTATATTTAAAGAGTAGGCGGATTGACTGTTGTTTAAATAAAGCCTTTCATCATTCCAAGTATTAAAAATGTATGGTAATAAAGTAAAAAGTGGGAACTAGCATAGTGCAAATGTATAGGGCTTCACAAAGCTGTTTGATGATGTCTCTTTTGCATCATCCTGATGCTGAGTTGACGTTTCCACCAAAGTCTTTCATCACTGAAAATTTATGCAAGTAGTGTAAGTTTGAATGGCTGAACTTTGATTTAGAGTAGAGTTCTTGTAAGTGAAATTGCATGTCCAGAAATACCTTTTGAGTTTGTTTGGGGAGAAGTTTTTGCTTTTGGTTTTGTTTTGTTTTGTTTTTTTTTGCATATGAGGAAAACCATGTACTACTAGACTCTCTATTCTGATTCATTGTAAGCCTATTTATTGGCACACTTTTCCTTTATGCAGTTTTTACAAGCTGAAAAGAGATTGTTTGTTGCCGATTGAGATGTTTGTTCCAGTTTTTGAGCTTTTGTTTGATCAAAATACAACGAATTATCTGAGTAAAATGTCAGTGAAGTAATTTGAGACAACTGAGACTTTAAATACTGCCTAGATTTCAGCTATTAACGGTTTACAATATCCAAAGTGAAACAACTGTTAAAGGCAAAGATAAAAAAAAGCAGAGCATGGACATTCAGTGTGTGGCAAAAAGTATGTGTTTTCAAATATTATAATGGTAATTAATAATGGTGGTAATTAATATATTTGTATTCAGTAGTGCTCATTATGTGAACTGTTAGTAGAATTAGTCCTCAGGATAGATTCCATAGATACCCTGCTAGATACATTGGCACTGATATGGGCTTACCTGTGGTAGTTTGTCTCTGGTGAGATGACACTGAGTTTATGGAAGCTCCCTTTGTCACACACTTGAAGATAACGAACTCAAGCATACATGATCTAGAGAGCATATTAATCCATTTTATTCATGCTTATATATGGAGCTATCTCAACAATCTATGGTTTCAGCCATTGGGAGGTGTAAAGATATGATAAATATTGTGATATCTTTCTGTATGTAATGTTTATGTAGTAAAAGTAGAAATTATGATGTTGCTTTTGGCATGTTCTGCTGCCTACTGTTTGATCTCCCATAACTTGTTTTCTTCTCTCACCTGCCCCCTCACTTGAATTGAACTGTACTACAGAGTAACATAAAGGCCAGATCACTATTTGAACTTTCAAAGATATTTTTTAGATTTCTTTACTTCATATTTAGAAAATATATGCATAGGTGATCCTTAACTGCTAATCCATTACATCAATTAATTTTTTTATAAACCGCTTAAGTTTATTAGACGATTTTGAGATATAAATGAAGAGATCATTTTGTTCCATTAATACTAGTCTAATATGAGAAATACATTGTATTTCCATTCTATTCATCTAGGAAAACCCAGTTGCTTCCTGTCTAAAACCGGAAGTACAGAGCCTTAATCTTCTTTTCCGTATGCTGCTCTGGAAAACACACAGATATTATTAGTGATGTATTATGGATCAGGGTTCCTTAGGGAGTCTCAAACCAATAATAAATTTGGGCTGGGCCTTGCCAAGAGGTGCTTTACAGACATCTAATGAAGTTTTAGACAAGAGTCCAGTCCAGGCTCTAGGTGTCTCTTCACAAGAGAAAGGTCTTCACTAGGTCACATTTACTGATCATGAACAAATGCTTTAGATATGACCTCAGTCAAAGGAAGCTAGTTCTAACGCACCTCTATCCCACTCACGATGTCTTCTGAATGTCACCAGAAGTCTCATGGAGTGGTTTTGTGGCCTGATGCTCAAGATGCATCCTCCCTTCTCCTGAGGACTGATTAGTACCGCTTAGTGCCCTGAAGCAGTGCCTGCTTATCAGTGATCAAGACCTGAGTGGATTCTCAGTATCTTAAAGCTGTGATGGCTTTTGTCATTTCCCAACAACAACAACAAGAGTACTTTTATTTTACCCCGTAAAAAGCAAGGCTTTGGTAACTGCTCTAAAGAACTAGAGCTTCAGTTTGCTGACTTCTGGAGTCCTACGTTACCGCTGTTCTAACAGTATGGTAGTATTTATGTTTAACATGAGATCTCATTGTAATTCAGTAAGGAAGTGCACCTCTTTCTTGCGTTTTGTGTCACGTCATCAAACTGTGGTTACAGAACAGCCCACACTGAGGTCTTTTCTTAGGTTTTCCAGAGCAGCATTAGGCTTTAGGTGGGGAAACTTGACAAATGCGGTGCCTGCTCACAATGTGCATCACTTCAATCTCTCCTCTCATTTGTAAAAATTTAACATTAACTTCACAAAGTCTTCTCGCAAGGATTTGTTCAATCCCTGCAGCAGCCTTTCCCTGCCGCGCTGGGTGGCAGCGCTGGCCTTTCTCGTGTCCACACGATCTTGGTTACTGGTGTCCCATGAGAGCAGGTAGCGTGGGTGCTGCTTGGCCGCTGCGCAGCCCCGTGCCGGCCAGCAGCAGCTCCCTCCTTGCCCAGGCAAACACGGGCTTGGAAGTGGCTCCAGAAGTCCATAGGAAGCAGGGTCCAGAGCAGAAATGGGTGCAGGGAAAGCTGACTTCTGCTTCCCTTTTGGGGACTTTTGCTCTACTTCCCTGCGGCAGAGTTGAAATCTTTTGTATTGTAGACATGATAAGAAGTATAGAATGCAACTGCCGGTATCTCCTGGATAATGCACTGTGGGACAGGTTCTGTGTGTGTTTCTGAATGTAAATGAAGGCAACTAGCAGAATGTGTCTTTGAGGGAATCCTTGGCTCAACAGAGGTATTTGCTTAATTTTTTATAGGACTGGGTGCCTTCACATTTTTAATGTCTCATAAAAGTAACAGCAAAGCAGTGGATAAGCTACTCTCACACTGTGCATTCCCAGAGCCTTGGCAGTTTTGTCAGCTGATGTTAGAGTTCTTTTCCCTTTTCCTTCAGTGCTTGAAACTCCCTTCCCTCCCCAGATTTCCAGAGCTTTCCAAGAGCTCTCCGCCGCTTACCCCAAGTTCAGTGTGCGCTTCCCACTGCCAAATCAAGGCCCGTTGCCTGGATGCAGTGCAGGGCTGGGAGCTCTCCAGGCCCTCGCGGCTGACTGGGTGCCCCGCAGGTGTCCCAGATGGCAGGGGGCACATAGGAGCTCCAGCCCCCCTGCCTGGGGCTTAGGCCAGGGACCAGAAAACTTTCTGCGTTGGTAGTACATTAAAAATGGTTTTAACAAGGCGTATAACTGACAGACTGTGGTTATGGTTTGCAGAGATTCCGTTGGTCCTGTATCTGTTTGCCCTGATTTCGGTCACCTGGCTGTGGGGAGGACTGCACGTGGCCTACAGGCACCTCTGGATGCTGGTCTTCTTTATCATCTTCAACAGCCTGCAGGTAGGAGCTGCTGCTTTTTCCTTCTTTCCTGCTGCTGACATTGGGACCATCTCCACTGCTTGGAATATGCTTAGCATGTCAGATTGGCTAGCTGAACAAAACCCAGAAACAAACAGAGGTTAGTGTATGACACATGGGCAGTGCTAGCTGATTTCTGAAGTTACATATAGAGTATGTATTCAAGTAGGATGCGCTGTTGGGATACGGTGGCAATAATCACATAGGTTTCATTTTCGTCCTTAATTTACCTTGTAAGGAAGCTACTTGCTTCTCTCCATAAGACATTACTGAGCTGATTATAACAATAAAGCTGAAGTATCTGTGTCCTCTGAAAAATACTGAGTAGCTCAGTTTTCTCTATCTGCTAATGCTACTTAAAAAAAAACCCTCAAAGGTTTAGTACAGCAGGTTTAGTGCAGCCTTAGTATGAATTGTTTTTTCATTATTAAAGGTAAGTAATGACGCATAGCTTTTCTCATACGGGATACATACTGGTAAAACAAAGATCTTTTCAATGAAAAAAATAAATATTGACTAGATGTTTAATATTAGTTATTAAAAAAAAAAAGAGTCTAAATGTATATTTATCAATAAATAGGGCTACATATTAATGTGTATGATCCATTCCACAGAAATAGGCCTTTGCAGAATTTGATGCATGTGTATACTTCCCATGTACTAAATACTGTATTGCACTGAATATTTGCAAAATGTGCGTCTTGGACACAAATATGTTTTTAAACTGAGAAAAACAAAATGTAACTTAGTGTAATGCATCTAATTATGCAGTTTGCATTGGTATATGAAATGGCTCATATTAGGGTTACTTTTTTTTTTTCCTTTATAGTTATGTGAACAGATTTCTCAGTTTTTCTACCTCTTAAGATCAAGTATATTCTCACCCTTTAAAAATTCTTAATGCTGATAGAACCATAGAATGCTTAAGGTTGGAAGGAACTTTTAGAGGTCATCTAGCCCAACCCCCGTGCACATGCAGGGTCACCTAGAGCACGTGGCACAGGACTGTGTCCAAGCAGGTTTTGAAGATCTCCAGAGAAGGAGACTCCACAACCTCTCTGGGCAGCCTGTTCCAGGGCTCTGTCACCCTCACTGGTAAGAAATTATTCCTTAAGTTCCTGTGGAACTTTTGGTTTCAGTTTCTGGCCGTTTCCTCTAGTTCTATCAGTGGCCACCAGTGAAAAGAGGCCAGCACCATCCTCCTCACTGCCTCCGTTTAAGTGCGTATAGACACTGATCAGATCCCCTCTCAGCTTTCTCTTCTCCAGGCTGAACAGGCCCAGCTCTCTCAGTCTCTCCTCATAGGGCAGATGTTCCAGGTCATTCCCTGTGAGCAAATAAAATTGATTTTAAGGAGGTATCCGGGCTTCCTTGCAGGAGGACTCCTGCGGTTCTGCAGAACTGATTATTGTGTAGCCACTAGCCATGGACATGCTCCTCCTTTCCTCCTCCCCTGCAAAATAGCAGAGTGCAGGCAGCCCCCCGGAGCAGTAAAGCCAAGGCTCTTGTTGCTTTATGGGAAAACATCACTGATATTGAAGTAGTAGATGTGTGATGGGGACAAGTGCGTCTATGTATATGTAGATAGGTATCTTATTTATATACCTATATATGTCCTTCCTTATTGTCTTTCAATGAAGAAATGTTACTACAATCCAGTACAGTTTTGTCACGCAGCTCTACCTTTGATACAACCTCTTTGAAGAAGGTAGCTAATAATTGAGGTTTTATTCTATAGGGATCACTTTTGCACTAGCACTGTGATATGTATGGATATTTGGCTTAAAATAAGCCAATTTTTTTTGGCTTTTTTTTTTTCCTCTGGGGAGCTTAGAGAAGATGGTTATGAATAGTCTGTGAGTAACCTCAAGGAAGATCATTCATGGCCAAAATTTTGACCCATAATATGACTAAATGTTGACCCTTCTGTGTGCCTACAGGAAGAGACTTTGTATTACCCTGTTTTATATAACTTACAATGTCTTATTCAAGAAAAGACAAGCAAAGAAACAAAGCTGTAGAATTATTGTTATTTTAATCAGTGTTGCAAGTTGCAAGACAGGAATTCATATAATGGAAGCAAGAAGTGAAACAGGATGTTGAAAACCGGTC